GAATAACACCTAATAATAAGATTTAATTCTACTTATGCTATAAAATTCCACTTATGTGCCAGGCACAATTCTAAGCATATGACATGAGTTAAATCATTAAAGTCTTACTACTGGAGGCAAATTCCAGCAGGTCATAATTATGCAAGAAGTTCATCAGAAGGCTGATGGATCTTTGGGCTTCAGCAGGACTGAAAATCTGCATATTATTACCTGCAGCTGAACAGCTGTAGGCATTTCCCCTAACCTGATAATCTTTTCCTGTTTACCAAACTTTACCTTTGACAAGCCTGTTTGCATTCCTAAAGGGCCAATGTGTTTTCCAGTAAATAAAAAGTCATGGGTCTGGAGATTCAGGGAGCGTAGCACTAGAGCTAAGTTTCCACCTGGCTTTCCCCCATGCCTTCCAAATTTACATTTCATGTCTAGTCTCTATTCATTTATGCGCAGCCCTTCTCCAGATTCCTGAACCCTAGGTGTGAAAAGACTGCGGCATCTTACCACTTTATGAGACAAATAAATTAATGCCTCCATTTTATAGATTAAGAATCTGCAAAACAGAGAAGTGGTTCACCCAGGGTCACACAGCAAATCAGTGGTGATGACAACTCCAGTCCTGATTGCTGCCCTGAGCTTCAGATTCCTGTGAATAACTACCTCTTCTGGGCATCCCAGGTAACATTCACTCAAGATGCCCCAAAATTGAACTCAAAAGTCTTCACTCCACAGGAGCAGATATTTCTGTATTTCTTAAGTCAGTTAATGGCACAACTTTTTTTTTGTTTTTTGTTAATCCTCTCCAGAGGATATTTTTCCACTGATTTTTAGGGAGAGTGGAAGAGAGAGGAAAAGACAGAGAAACACATCCATTGGTTGCCTCCTGCAGGAGCTCTGACCAGGGCATGGGCCAGGGAGGAGCCTGCAACCAAGGTATGTGCCCTTGACTGGAATCAAACCCGGGACCCTTTGATTTGTAGGCCGATGCTCTATCCACTGAGCCAAACCAGCTAGGACAATGGCACAACTTTTACTATTAAACTCTCTGTGCCTCAGCGTAACTAGTAGCCTGGACATCATTCTAGATTCTGCTTGGATTCTCTTCTTTTTCCTCAATCTAATCATTGAAGTCCTAAGAATTTTACTTTCTAATTAATCAAATATGTCTTTTTTTTCTCTATCACTGTTCCTGCCCTCATTAGGGCCCTAATCTTTCCTCAGTACTATTATAACCAACTCTCATTTGGTATCCTTATATCTAGCCCTCAAAATTATCTTCTTTATTGCTGCCAAAGTGACTTACCAAAAGTACAAATTTGTCCATGCCACTATATGGCTTAAAGCTTTTTATTGACTGTTGTTAGTTAACTAAGAATAAAGTCAGGTTCCTTAGCATGGCCCTTTGGCCGTCAAATACATAACCCTTTCCAACCAGACTCTCATCTTCTGTCACCCCCTGAATCACACTTTACTCTCTAGCTGCTAGAGTCTTTGTCATGATCTGAGCATACTATGCTACTTCATGCCTTTGACCAGTGCCATCTTATGGTTTTGTTCTTTTTTGTTTTGTTAATCCTTACCCGAGGATCTTTTTTCCCATGATTTTTAGAGATAGTGGAAAGGCTGGGGGGAGGGGGGGAAGGAGTGAGGGAAAGAGAAATAGAGAGAGAGACACTGATGTGAGAGAGACACATCAATGGTTGCCTCCTTGCATGCATGCGACTGGGCATCGATGCAACCTAGGTATTTTTCTTTGACCAGTAAGCGAATCTGAGACCCTTCACTCTAATCACTGAGCACACCAGCCAGGGCCACAATGTTTCTTTTTAACTATTTGACCCGGTAGATATAACGTCACCAGTGTGACTTACTGTTTGCAAATTTATAGGCTGAATTCCCTTTCCATGCAGGTATCTAAAAATTAGTTACTGCTTGAGAGGTTCAGTGTTCCATTGACTAGCCAAAGTTGTACTGATCTATCAATCACAGGGCCTGACAGCTCAAACAGAAGGTGTGTGTGTGTGTGTGTGTGTGTGTGCGCGCGCGCGCGCGTGCGTGCGCTACCTAACCAGGTCTGTTCTTGGGGTAGGCTTTGCTCTTAGGAACCCAATCCACAGGCTGGCCAATCACCAAGAGTAAGACATGGTGTAATTTAATGAACTGGTCTTATCAGGTACTTGCTTTGGGAATTAATTTCAAATGCAAAGAGGATCTGGTAGTTACTAGAAGACACTGAATCTAATAGCATTCAGAGAGAAAAATATCTGTAAAATAGACACAGCAGTGGTGAGTCAGAAGTTACAAGGACGCAGATTGGAAAGCTGAAGCCTTGAAGTTCACAAAAGGTATAGAAAGTGAAGAGTAAGGATAAGGGACTCAAGAGCAAATAGGAGAGTGCGGCAGACAAAAAAAAGTTGTGTGCTACATTAAGAATGTAAAAGTTTAAACTCTCACTCTCCTGTTTCTGCTAATATCCTAAAAGCTGGACTTCCATCTGGAGAGGCCATGATAAACATTTCGGCACCTGAAGTAATTAATTAGAAGAAATATTTTAATATTGCTATTTGCCCTTTTTCTATAATAGAAGTGTCAACCAAATTCATGATCGACAATGACAGAAGGAAACACATGTGTGTGACTGGCACCAGTGAGAGCTTTATATGTATAGATAAGCTTGCTTAATTAGACCTGCTTTCTGACTTAAACTTATTCCAGTCCAGTGAAGCATCCCAACTTCTCTTTCAGATAATTGTCAGCAACACAGCAGTAAATATCAACATGAAGCAGATTATTATTGTAGATCACGCAGGGAGAACAAAGGACAAAATATTTAACTGCAGCCCTGGCCAGCTTGGCTCAGTGGATACAGCGTCAGCCTGTGGATTGAAGGGTCCCAGGTTCGATTCCGGCCAAGGGCATATGCCTGGGTTGCAGGCTTGATCCCCAGTGGGGGGCATGCAGGAGGTAGCCAATCAATGATTCTCTCTCATCATTGATGTTTCTAGCTCTCTCTCCTCCCTTCCTCTCCGAAATCAATAAAAAAATATATTTAAAAAAAATATTTAACTGCAGCAGTGTTTGACTATATTCTGCACAGTGAGAAAACCTAAAGTCATTTTTAAGGTCCTCCATTTCTTCTTTTTAGTGGAGTCAAGTTTCTAAGCTTTCTAAGTGTTTTTTTTCCAGCTAATGAAAAGAAAATAGGATTCCACCAAGTCTCCTATTTACCTACTCCAGGACTTCGGTGAGGAGCAAATGAGATGAAGCATGGGAAAATGCTTCACAGGCATTTATTTTTTTTAAAATATATTTTATTGATTTTTTACAGAGAGGAAGGGAGAGAGATAGAGAGTTAGAAACATCGATGAGAGAGAAACATCAATCAGCCGCCTCCTGCACATCTACTGGGGATGTGCCCGCAACCCAGGTACATGCCCTTGACCAGAATCGAACCTGGGACCTTTCAGTCCGCAGGCCGATGCTCTATCCACTGAGTCAAACCGGTTTTGGCCACAGACATTTATTTACAGTGTAAAATGTTTCCACCTGGCTATAAAGCAAGTCGTGTTTCTGGCCTGAAGAAACTGCAAGGAGGCTAGTCACTAGGAAGAGGAAGCCAGGTGTTGCTTGTGATGTCATTACTCGGTGCCCCCAGCCACCGCTTCAGTTTCAGGGCTGGGCTGTGGGCCCCATTTTGCGCCATGGGGGGGGGGGGGGGCGCGGTATGGGCGGTCACGGCAGAGTGGGCTGCGATTTGGTGGGCTGTAGCTTTGGGGTGGTGGTGGGGCCTGGGTCCCACTTGGGTGAAGCTGAGTGTTGCTTTGTGGGCTCTAGGTTGCAGTGCTGTTTCTCTGTAAATGGCCAGGGCATGTCACAGCAGCTCCTACCTTGAGCGTCTGTCCCCTGGTGGTCAGTGTGCGTCATAGACCCGGTGGGACAGGTGGAGGGACATTTAGCATATTAGCCTTTTATATATGTAGGTTATGTATATATATATACATATATATAGAGAGAGATAGATAGATAGATAGATAAAAATTGCTACTTGTGTCTCCTCCTCCCACCCGTTGCCACCAATTAGGCCAAAAAGAACGGATTTGATTTTTGAAATTAAAAGGGCTAATTAAGAAATAGGAAATGCAAGGAATGGGTAGAGTGAGCCTTCAGCTTGTGCACATGTGCTACTGACAGGTCACTTCTGTCAACTCTTCCAATTCTGTGGGAAGTTCTACATATGCAACAAACTGGTCCTAACTTAAGCACCTGCAGCTTTCACATCCATCCTTCCCACGCATAAACACACCACTAACCATGCTCCCTGAGCACAAACCGCGGTATCCGCTCGGGGGCAAACGTCACAAGATCTATCTTCACAGACACAATGCAGGGCAAGTCCCCGCGAGGTTCCAGGGGGCCCGCTCGCAGCAGGGGAACCCTCATCGGCGGCAGAGCCTTGCCGTCATGGTTCCGAGGTGCCGGCGCGGGACAGAGGCTCCCCGAGCCCGACCTTCCCCGGGAGCCCACCCGGACCTCCCGGCCCCGGCCGCCCGTCGGGTCACCTGTAATTGTAGGCGCTGAATTGCTTGCTCTCTCTCAGCATCGCTCGGTACAGATCTAACACTCGTGCGCGGCTGGAGGCTGCCATTTTGGAAAGAAAAAAATAAGTGGGTCCTCTTCGCAGAGGTCCCGATTTTAACCCAATCGCAAAATGTCAGCCTATGCAAAACCACCCACGACCTCAAACGCAGTTTGGTTTGGTTACGCCGGCCGGCCGGGCCTCTGCCTGGGCGAGCAGCACCGCCGCCTCGGGCCGCAGCGGACCGAGCCCGGCGTCGCTCGGAACTCCGGAGGCGGGCGCAGGCGGGCTTCGGGCAGCTAAGGGGGAGGCGCCCTCGGGGAAGGCGTTCCTGCTCGCCCGCCCCACCTGGAAGGCTCCGGCTTGTAGCGACGCTGGGAGCGGGCTGAGGGGCGGGGGGAGCAGAAGGGGCGGCCTAGGCGACAGAGCTAGGGCTTGGGGTGGAACCTGGGGGGCCGCTAGTGCACCGAGCCACGCTCCTCGGGACGGAGGTCGGCGCTCGAGTACGGAGGGCGTGCAGAGGGCCAGAGAAAGCCTTCTCGAGCCACGGGGGGTCATGGAGAGGACACTGACTTGGGGTCAGGAAGGGGATAAAATGTTTCGCTGTGAAGTGCCCGGTGGCACCTTCGCCGGACGTCAGGCCGCGTTGCCCGGGTAACCGAGCGCGTGCCTTGCGGACGCTCCGCCTCCGGCGCGGACGCCCTGCCCCAGGCTGCGGACGCCCCGCCCCTCCCGCTGGGGCTGCCCTCGGCCCTGCCTGATAGGCCGTGCGGGATTCCCAGGGCCTTTGGTACTGTCGCGCTCTCCCCGTGGGCCCGGAGTGCGGGCCACTCGCTGCAGGCCTGGACGATGGCGTGGCGGGCGCGGAGGCGACAGGTCCAGGGTTCCCTGGAGCTCCGGCTCCGCTCAGGGCTACCTACTAAGGGGCCTCCCGCGCAAGGCCCGCCTTTTTGTCAAAATGGCAGCGCCCAGCGTCTTCCCACGGGAGCCGTGAGAGGGGTGTGAGAGCCTTCCCCACGAGAGTAAGCGGGCCCACGGCGCTCCAGACTTTAAACACCCAGGTCTGCGTCTCCCGGCGAGCGGTGGGTGAGTGCCGGTCTCGCTGCCGCGTGGGGTTGCTCCGTGGGCAGTGTGGCAGGGGGTTACCTGACCCTGGATTTCCCCCTTTATGGGGTACGGGTTGAGCTCCCCGGGTTTTGCTTTTGAGTCGTGAGTCCCGTAGAGTTTTGTCATCTAACGGATGTGTGCAAAGGTCGGGTTGGTTGGGCTGTAGGCGTGGGGGATTAATCTGGGAAGGAACTTGAATGGTCCAAAACTCTGTTGCCGAGCAAGTTTTCTCTCGAAGCGTTTCATGACTGACTGTTCTCTCGGGGTCCTTTTCGGAAGATGCCAACTTTTCCGAACTGCCATGTGACAGTGGTGCGTGAAGTTGGTCGTTCTGGTCCTTGAAGGTGGACTTGGCGAAGGGAGGCGTGATCTGGTTCTTGTCAACTGTGTTTGCAAAGCACTTGTCTTTGCAATCTTCCGTTATGTAATAAACGTTAAGAAGAAGCAGTTTTCTGCCCCCCAATACATGAGGACTACCCCTGTGTACGTAAAAAAAAAAAAAGTTGGCATTAACATCCATCTTAATCCAAACACTGAATTATGGTTTTTGTTTCATCTCTTTAAGTTTATCTGCTTTTGAAATTGTTAGAGGCACATCTCACTGACACCAGAGAGGTGTTTCCGGGCAGCACCTCCCCCCCCCCCCCCCTCCAGTTAGTGGGAGAGGGCGATCCCAACCTCGATCCTTGTCTTCTCATATAAATAGTTTATACCAGAGACCTTGACTGCATTCTGAATAGCCAATGTATCAAAGCAATTGAAGCATGCACCTTTATTAAAGAAGCAAAGCAAGCAAATCTATACATCTGGCTTATGAAGCGCAGAGTGGCTCTCAGCTAATGTGAAGAGCAAGTTAGGTGGGGCGGGGGGGGGGGGGGTCAGAGGTGTTATACCAGGTGTACCCGTTAATAATGTGGATTTTGTAATTAAGGAAAACACGATAATTTCAAGAGAAACATCAAAAGTGCTTTATTCAAAGTAATGTCCATCGCTAGCTACACATTTCCCCCATCTTTCAGGTAATTTGTGGATACTGTCCCAATAGAACTTTCCTTGTTTTGAGGCAAACCATTCAGAGACCCAATTTTCCACTTCTTTGTAGGTTTTGAAGTGCTGCTCAGAAAGTGCGTGTGCCTTTGATCGGAACAAGTGGTAATCTGAAGGAGCAAGGTCTGGTGAATAGGGCAGGTGGGTTAATACTTCCCAGGCAAGATCTTTTAACGTGTCTTTAACTTGTTTTGAAGTGTGTGGTGGTGCGTTATCTTCAAGCAAAATTACTTTGCTGTGTCTTCTGGCCCATTCTGGTCGTTTCTCGATCAAAGCGTGGTTCAAATTGATTGTTTGTTGTTGGTAGCGATCAGTATTAATGGTTTCACCTGGTTTTAGAAGCTCATAATACACCACACCTTCCTGATCCCACCAAAGGCAGAGCATTGTCTTCTTTCCTAAGCGATTTGGCCTTGCAATCGATGTTGATGGTTGACCTGGATCAACCCATGATTTTGTGCGTTTGGGATTCTCAGAATAAATCCACTTTTCATTGCCAGTCACAATTCGATGCAAAAGAGACTTTCATGCCATTGAAGCAAACATTTTAACTGATGACTTTTCGGTTTTCCATTTGTCTTTTGTTCAGTTGATGTTGCACCCATTTTCCTTCCTTTAAAATCTTTCCCATTGCTTGTAAATGATCAGAAATTGTTTGCTGAGCAATGATTAATCTTCTGCAAGTTGTTTTTGAGATTGACATGCATCTTCATCTAATAATGCTTGTCATTGTTGGTCTTCAAACTTTTTCGGTTGACCTGGACGTTTTTTGTCTTTCACATCGAAATCACCACTTTTAAAGCATTTAACCCAGCATTCACAGTATCTTGAGATGGAGCATGTTCACCATAAGCTACCCAAAGTATACGATAACTTTTTCTTCAAAATAAAATAATGAATTAAAATTTCCCGCTAATGCTCTTTTTTTTGGCACGAAATTCGACATTTTTAAGCGTAAAAATAGCTATGATATTAACACCTTCAGCAAATTTGACATATGAAGTTTTGAAGCTTGCTGTCAATACAACAAAATAGCATACATATCAAATCACATATATATCAACGTATGTGTAACTCCATCTATTGAAAAAAATCCGCATTATTAACTGGTACACCTAGTATACCCTCCTGTCTATAGGTCTCAAAATTCCTCTGATGAATTTCTTGGTACATATTAATTCTCAAGGTCCCTTTTTACTTTGTCATGGCCTTCCCAGAATTCATGAGAAGCACCTGCAACTTTATCTTGCTAAGCCTTGAGACTGTTGTCATCTCTGCCTAGGGAGTAAAACTTCCCTTTTTCCTTTCCCCTACCTCCCCCCCCCCCCCCCACACCCCACTTTCCTTTCTGCATTTCTTTCCTTAGGGTGGTTTTTAAACATTTACTCTCAAGTATCCTTGGTTGGGGAAGGTAATGGCTTGTTACAAGCTGGCTGCAAATTGCCCACGCTGTTTGGCCTTGTTTTAACTTTCCTGTCTCAGTTTCCCTATTCCTCCTGCCCTGGAATCTTGTAACAAAATGACGCTTAGTTTATGTCAATACATCCTTGTATTTTCAGGAACTTTAAGGGCAAGAGACACTTCTCTGACCTTACCACATTTACCACATATACTTGTTATATTACTCGTTAGAATGCAGTGGTATTTTTAAAAAAAGCATGGAAGAGAAAATACTTTTATTGAAATCCCTTTAAGCTTGCTATTTCGATTTTTAAGGGTCTCATACATCAGTGAATCTCAAAATAAGATTTTTTTACAGGGTAGTTGAACTTCTGTCACACTTGCAGGTTGACCAGATCATTGGGCAAGTCTTTCCTTAGGTTTTGTTGAAAGGGCTTTTAATATTTTGAGTTTATACGTTGGCATTACTTAAAGAATTTAAGACTAAGGGAATTGCAAATTACTGTATTATAGCATACGATCCAGAGCAGTTTTCTCTTAATATGATACAGTGTTGAATGCTGATGATATTAAATACTATGCAACACCTGGGAAAACTGCAACGTCATTGCAAGTTAAAAATAGAAAGCTATCAAAGTTCGAAGAAAAAACTTGAAAATTATTTTGCCTTGTTTGAAAACAGTGGGGATTGCATCATTTTATTGTATTTTGCTTTCACCTAGAAAATGATGTTGGAATAGTTATTGTATACAATTTTTTATGTGTAATTATCAAGTAATTCAATTCTTAGCATGCACAATTAATGTATATAAATGACTTTAATTTTGTTGTATTCAAATAAAAACTTTCAAAAAAAATACATAAAGTTTACTTTGTTTGGTTGGCCTGATCACCTCTTGGTACAAGGTTAGGAATGTGATAGCTTCCCAGTTGATTGTAAGCTAAGTCCTCACAAAAATACTTTTATTTGAAATAATTTACCATAGATTACATACCATTGCCTTGAAAGACTAATAAAAATAATCACATTCTAAAGCCAAATCTCTCCTTTTATACATCTTCATTGCAGAATAGCTCTTTTTGGAGATTGTATGTGGAATTGGGCCAGAAGCTTCATGGAACTTACATATGTCTTTTAATACACATTTATTGTGCGCTGAGTAGTCTTTTGGGTAATGATCCATTTACTACCATTTAGGCCCCCAAAATGTAAATATTTTCTTAATATTCACCTATCCTTAGTTATGAAATATCTGTAGTTCTTTACCTACCTATGTAAAACGATATATTGCCTTGTGTTAAAATTAGTATTACTAATGAGCATTTAATGGTTTTATTTTATTTTTTAAATATATTTTTATTGATTTCAGAAAGGAAGGAAAGGGGTGGGGAGAGAGAGAGAAGCATCAATGATGAGAGAATCATTGATCACCTGCCTCTTGCACGACCCCTACTGGGGATTGAGCCCGCAACCTGGGCATGTGCCCTTGACTGGAATCAAACCCGGGACCTTTCAGTCCACAGGTTAACACTCTATCCACTGAGCCAAACCAGCTAGGGCATTTAATGCTTTTTGAAGAGAAATTTCTCCAACCATAATAAGCAATGTAAATTTAACAGCAATTTACGGTCTTTAGGCTTAAATATTAAAATCATATGTAAATAAAATCTTGTATACATCAACAACTTGTGATATTATGATTTAGAAATGATCCACTCCAAACATGGATCCAAGTCTGTATTATACGTAATGGTCATTTGATTTTATTAGGTTTTTCATTCTAGTAGAATAGAAGCTGGAAGAGACCTTGAACATCAGCTCACTCATATTTTACAGATGAACAAACTGAAGTCCTTTTCTCATTCATTTATTCATTCATTCAACATTTCTTGAACACTTCCTAAGTGCCATACATTATACAAGATGATGGAGTTACAATAATGGGAGTCTTCTTCTCCTCCAAGAAACCAATAGGGATAAATAGAGTAATTATTTTTGACAGATGCTTTCATTGGGTAATATTGCCAAGTGTTAGGGGAGTATAAATAAGGGACATTAAACTAGGACTTTGACTTAAGGGAAGGATTTCCATCATAGAAGATATTTTCACAATGAGTTTTAAGACCCAGATGAATAATGTACATTACAGATTATAGTGTACATTCAAAACATGGGTGCATAAGGGAGCATGATCTATTCAGGGAACTTTAAGCAGTTGGACTTGTGGGGAGACCACAGATATGATTAGCCCTGTACATATTTTATTTTAGTAACTAGAGGCCGGGTGCACGAATTCATATAAGGGTGGGGTCCGGGGACATGGGAGGTTGGCCAGCTGGCCCCGCCCCTGATCATGTCGATTGGTTGGCCGCAGTACCTGTCATAGTGATCTGTGGTTCTGGTTCTGATCTCCGATCGTTCTGGCCGCTTGGCTTAATATACATATAGATGTTTCCTCTATTTTGGGGATGTGTCATTTCTTATACATTGACTAGTTCACATAAGCCAAGTAGAACTTAATACTGAAATA